GTTATGAAGCAAAATTGCAAGAAAATAAAAGTTGCAAATTGTATAACAATCATTTCATTAAATAAATATAAATCTTCAATTAAAATCACTCTTGAAAAGCAGATAGATTGAAGAGAGATTATTACTTTTTTAAAAAAGTTATATAAAAAAAAGATGAGTAGATTTAACATTGAGATTATTACTTTTTTTAATTTTTTTAATATTTTAATTTTATTTTCAAACACTTCTGTAATACACAGTTCTGCAGCTTTCATTAAAGTGTTAAATTTTCAATTAATAATTCAGACATTGACATTAAAAAAAGTATTAAATATTAAAAAAGAAATAATTTCATCATCTATTAAATCTCTTCTTTATCATTTTGTCAAATCCTCTCAAATTCATAAAATATCTGATGATGAAAAGCTACTGTCTATATGTACAAGATTCACAGCCACTAATCAGCAGCTGAAAAAGATTTGAAATTAATAATTAAATGAACATGATTTTTTACAAACTGAGTGTGAGATAACTGCTCATTGATATTATCAAAAAATGAATTATCATAACTTTAAACAGAATATTTATTGAATAGCTTTTAATAATACTCATATTCAACTTCTGAGTAATGAGATTGTCAGTTGAATAGATGATGTTGAATATAAACATACAATAACAAAATCTCTCAAGAAAGATGATAAAAAATTAATAAATAAAAAAAAGAAGAAGAAATGAAAAAGTGAATTTATCTCTATTTCTAATTTTTCTATATAAACATTTCAAATATCAGTAATTATATTTTCTCTCTCAACTTCTTCTTCATCTAATATTGTATCTTCAAATGAGATAATCAATATGATGGTGATGAAATATATGATAGAAGAAATAGAAGGTATAAAAGAACTGAATTTAAACTTGTCATTGAATTCAAACTTATTATTAAATTCAAATTTATCATTGAATTTGAATCTGTCATTAAATTTAAATTTGTCATTGAATCTGAATCTGTCTTTTATTTAAAGTAATTCAATCTCTCAATTTGATGAATCTCTAAATCTGTTTATTGATGAGTTTTTCAATTGATTAATGACAGAGAGATTTTGAAAAGCAGAAGCTCTTTTAATTGTAAAAAATATTATTTAAAATAAAGAATTTAAATTGAATCATATATAAACAATGACAAATAAATAAATAATTCAGTTGAATATTGAAATAAATATATTTTTAATAAAAAAAGATGGGTTAAATAGTTCTATCTGACAATTACAGTTGAAGAAGATTAAATTGTTTTTATTTGCTGTTTATAATAATGACAACAGATTTCACACTATTTCTACTCCTGAATTTGAAATTTAAATATTATATATCATCATAATTGAATTGCAATCTGAATTTTTTTTAAATTTTGTAATATTATTTTATATGAGCAGATCTGAAATATTCTTTTACATTTTTTTTTTTCTATGAAATTTTCAATTATATGATGTAAGAAGATTTCAAAATCTTCATTAAATTGATTTTTTAATTGATATTTATATTTTTTAATTCATTCTTTCAATGTATGAAATGATTTTTCTATAGAATTATAATCAGAAAAATATGAAGATAAAAATAAATATTTAATGTAAGCTTCTCTGCAGAGATTTCACAATGTTTATAAATAATAAGAAAAGCAATTATTTATCATTAAATAATAATAATTTCATTGACATTTAAACAATATTCAGACATATACAAACTCATTGACTCTTTTTATATTATAAAATTTCTGATATATATTATAATTAAAATATTCATTAACATTTATTGCAGATAAGATTGATCATCTGCAAAATCATTTATAAAGTTTTTTAATATAATAAAAAAAATTTTTATTTGATCATCTATATTATTAATCTGCAGTACATTCATTCACAGCACTTTCATTTAAAAAGATAAATTGATCAGATTGATACTGAATAATTTGAATATATCATTCAATTTGAAATTTTTCATTACATTGATTGATTATAGATTCAATCTATATTAAATAAAATTGACAGATTAACAAATTCTATAAATGATAATTGCAATAATTAATCATTTTTTTTCATATCAAATTCAGTTTCTTCAACAATTTAGATATCAATTAAAAGTGAATATCAACATCAAATTCATTCTTCATAAAGCAAACAATCTCATTGTGATATGTAGTTGAATATATCTTAAAAAAATCTTTCAAATCTGACAAGATATTCAGTGCGATCTTTAACTTTACATTTCATGTTGAATGAGAACTTCTAGCAGTTCCAAAGCAGTGAATATTTTGTTGAATTTAATATACAGTGATCAGATGGCACTCAATGGTCCATGCAATTTGAGCAGGCATATAATCATCATTTAAAAAGCATACAATCTCATTGATGGTAAATTCACTGAGCTGAGGGGGCATATTGACAGATTTGATGATAAAGGTGTGTATTTGAATGAATTGAATGATATTTGAATGATTTTAGAGATACGTGGATATTTTGGCTATTTTTGCAGTGTTTTGCTAATATTTTTCAGGGGGTGGCAGAAAATTCTGTTTTCGCAAGCTTTACGTCCGCCACAATACTCTTGGGTGTGCGAGAATTTCCAAGGCTATCCAAGAAGACTACAGCGTAGTCTAAAAAGTACTCGAGATCTTGAGATTCAGCATTGGACTATTCCAAGAGTAAACTTTCGAGAGTTTAATAATCAGATCGAATATGCCCTCAGACTCGGGGGAGACTTGACGAAGCAGTATCCTCACACAGATAAATAGAAGGCCTTTTCTGAGCCAGGAGACGATCTGAAGCCATTGTATCATTCTCCTTTCGCTCGCGATAGACTTGAGTGCACAGAATCCCAATGGGACGGAGGATTAGGATTTTCCGTTGAATACCCAGGTCTGGTCGCCGAAGAGCCCGCCAAACTAACTTCTCACATATAACTACTAGTATCTTATGAAGAATCTGAGAAGAAACAGATTTATTGTCAAGCATATATGAGATTATGAAATACATCAATAATTTAACTATAAGGGTCAACAGGAAGTGAAGCCACTTCTTTGCCCAGTCAGGGTTTGGCAGGCCTAGCATCCCCGAGGGTTAACTATATACGGGGTACGGGCTCAGTGTGGGCCTCTGTGGCTGACAAGGGGGTTCAATCTATTAGTTATAGTTAAGCTTAGCTACCATGGAAGTTACTGCCACAAAGGAAATGCACTGATGCTGCTGTGTTCTACTCTTGACTATCCTGTATATCTGGAGGATCTCAGTAACCATGGGCATTCACTCTCATCTTAATTTCTGCAGCACAGACGCTCTACTACTAGTAGACAACCGAATTGAATACAATAGTAACCCTTTTATTATCCGAGACGTAACAATGAAAAGGATAAACTCTCATCATCCTATCGTTTCATAACACGCAGCCCCGATGTGTTATTTGAGTCTCTGTTCGACTCCCCCATCCATCTCATTACATATTGTCATGCATTCCTAGCTACCAGAAATCAATACCCCAAAGTAATTCTACATCCAGCCCTCGACCTACAAAGGAAACAATAACAACGATGATGCTGACACTACCGCAGCCCTCCTTCCTTTCTTTTCATACCCCTGTATCACCTTCAGTCACTACTTCTCCTCCCGTCCAGCCAGAAGAACCCATATTTCTTCCATCGGATACTCAGTTGATATCAAGTACAGATGCTCCAACTGCAGTATCTCAAACACCAGTCCCATCATCCATCATTCTTTCAAACCTGATCCCGACAGTTGTCCTCCTCATATACGCTTTTTACATCATCCATCGCATCAGGAAATATAAAATTTTTGCGAGAATCAACAGGTTTTTCCGCAATTTGATCCCTTTCCCACAGGGTAGGCGCAGAGCTTGGAGGAGAACACGAAGGGGGAAGAGTTATGGCCCCGTCAATGCCAGTTTGAATGTCGGCCGTGGTGCTGAATTTGGCCAAGGGGACGAATTGGCATGTGGTGACGATGGTCATGATGATGGCGAGGATGATGACTATCAAGAGATTGAAGAGATTGAACTAGAGAGCCAAATGCGGCGCATGAGAGGAAAATCGAAACGGCGACCCCAGCATGAGAATCCAAAACAAGGATATCAGCTTATCGATTTCCTAAGCTCAGACTCAGACTCAGACTCAGACTCAGACTCAGACTCAGACTTCCCCTCAATCTCAGCCTCTGATGCAGTATTACTGGACACCCCTTCGAATGACGGAGATGACGGATACAATTGCATTCATACCCATAATATTCACAAGGTATGTGGATATCATCGAAATGCCACATCCAAGCAGGAACAGCTTGTAGAACTCGACATGTCCAGATATTTTGATCCCACGACGTCAAGACTGCGAGACAATGTCCTCTTGGCTCCCAAGATGAATATTGAGAGTAACGGAGAGGGTAGGGACGACGAGGGAGAAATAGGAGATATGGCCGCACGGGTTCATAGGATTGTTGACTATGTGGTTACAAAGCTTCTTAACTGGTTGGATGATTGACTGTGGAATGAACCCCTTTTAAGTGGTGCGCTGAGTCATGAAGGCGTGTGCTTGGAACGGCGTATGCTGCATGCAGTACAGATGTACTCCGTAGGCATGTACTGATATGGGGAGGTGGCTGGATGATTGTGCATAATGGAGGAGAAGAAAGAAGTGAGGCACTAACGACTATTGTAATTTTTCTCAGTCTCTCTCATTTATTTTTCTCCCGAAACTATGGGAAAATAGGGAGGTAACACAATATATTTTAATTCATTAAAAAGAAAGGAAAGAAGTATGTAAAGGACTTTTGTTCTTCACCATGTTACCTGATGCTCCAAGGCAACATAAAATAATGAATAACTAATTTATTCAATTTCCGTTACCAACGAATAATTGTGAATTTGGTGGGGAAACGAAAATATGTAACAAATGCAGATCGCACACTGGCATAAACCCAAGCGTGAAAGAGAACCAAAAAAAAAAGCTCTCCCAGAATTGATCATGGCAAGACATATCCTCCATCCACAATAATATCGGTTCCAGTTGTGTAACTAGAAGCGTTCGATGCAAGGTACAGGTATGCACCAACAAGTTCGTGGGTTTCTCCCTCGCGGCCCATGGGGATCTTCTCGTGCCAGATGGCCTTGGTGGCAGCAGGGATGAAGTCGGAAAGCTCAGTGGCGATATAGCCGGGCGAAACAGAGTTGGCACGAGCGAATCGCACCCATTCTACGGCGAGAGATTTGCCTGTAAGTAGGTCGTTAGCTAGATAGAAACTTTTGTATTTTCCTTCCTCCAACCTTTCTTTTTTAATGGCACATCTGCTAGTATATATATAGGTAGGAAGAAAGGCACTTACACATTTGAATCACGGCCGCCTTCGCCGCATTATATGCCGTCTGTAGCTGCGGGTAATTGACAACGTGCGCACTCATCGACGCTGTGGCGATGAAACTTCCATAAGTGAAATTCTCCAGCTTCTTGCCGTTGATATCGGTGCCCTTTTCTTTCTGGCGTCTCCAATGGGCGGCGGCTGCGCGGGCACAGTAGTAAACGCCGTCGACATCTGTCCTTATGACTTTGCGGTAATGATCCAGGTCGGCATCTATCATGGCCCCCTTGGTCCAGGGAACACCGGAGTTGGCAATGAAGATATCGAGGCGCCCATTGAATTCCTGGACGACGGTGCTTATGGCGTCAGAGACTTTCTCTGGGTCCGTAACGTTAACTTGGTATGCTCTACCTGAACGGAATTGTTAGAATTTGGTTGTCAGAAACATCATTTTGGTATTTATTTTTCTTTCCTTTTTTTTAATAAGGCTCCGTTTAGCAGAAAGGAAGGAAACAATTCATTGTTTGTCCGTACATAAAAATCTAAAACTTACATTGAACTCCATATTTCTTCTCGATCTCCGCGGCGCGTTCAATGGTGGCTTTGTTGCTATTGTACCAGATGGCGATATTCGCTCCAGCTTCGGCAAACGCATGGGAAACGGCCAGGCCAATTCCTGCACCAGCACCAGCGACGATAGCGGTTTTTCCCTTGAGTGAGAAGAGGTCCAGAACACTCCCAGTGGAGGGTGGGGCCTGGGTGTTATCTGTCCGGAACTTGCCGTCGACAATTGGGGAGTCCATACTGAATATCAGTCGAGGTGGAATATGGTTATATATTAAGTGTTAGGATCTGAAGACCAAAGCAGTCTAGATATATGTTTTGGCAGCTATGCAAGAAGATGATGGAGGTGGTGGTGTGGGGGTGAATGGGGAGTAACGCCGCCGTAGCACAAAGAGCAACAGTCAGCGACACCACCTTTTGACGTGTGAGGGTGGAGTAGTGATGTAAGGACAAAACGCTTGTTATTAACAGATAGTAAGAGATATTTATTGGAGCGCTTGGTTTAAATGGATGCTAGTAAATACGAATAAATAGAGATATGGTGAGTAAGAGCAGCAGATCTAGAGTGGATCACAAAATGATTGGTTCATCGAATATGTCAACAGGGACATATTGCGGCAGCGCGAAACTATGCCCAACCGATCAGTCAATGAAATTATCTCTAAGAATTTGCTTGTCCGTGTCCTGCCCGAATTTCATGTATCATCACGTAAAAATGGATCCGCTTGTATGTGGTGCGGAGGCAGGGAAAAATGAGGACTTCGTCATGACGTCAGTGGCTGGTGATTGTCAGGAACTGTGGCGGGGTCCCTTGAAATTTTCACGGCTAATTTGGGCGAATTGTCTTGATATGTTGTTATCAATTCGGTTTTGGTAGGTAAAATGCTTGCTCAACGTCATCCACATTTAAGGAAAATTGCACAGCATAAATGGCCGAAAAGGAAAAGGGTTATTGTTGATAATAGAAATGGTGCCTTCAGGAAGGATTTGGAAAACAGCGAGTTCAGTAAGGGGTTGCAAACCCGCTTCAAAGTGTTTACAGTGGAGGAAGGATATATTACCGCGCCTTCTCGGTAAGCACAAGGGAGAAAACGAGGAGTTGAATGTGCTTTTATGGAGACTGGTTACATTGATCTGCCTAGTTAGAATGACCTAGCGGGATGACCGGTAAGAAATCGGTCGATGGTCGCTGGGCGCTGGCTGCTCATCCGCTACTGTTCTGCTGCATTTATACCACGTATTTCTTCCAAATCAAGACAATTTGGTGGTCGTTACCAATAAATGATAACAGTTGAGAACAAAGAGGAGATTGATACTTACTAGTACTCCGTACAGATATTCGCTTGAACGATTGATTGAGATCTCCTCAGCCAGGCTTGCTTACTAATAATAATTGGACCATCGTGGATCCTGATTCCAACATCAACAACATACATTATGATGATCTTGACCAGAGCTTCAGGCAGATTCAAGGGCTAGGGTGCTTCGATTGATGCATTTTAGTTACCCTTTTCCTTTCAAATGGCTAGAGAAAATTTTGGTCGAGTTCATCGCTTTCTGATTGTTGTAATCTCTGTGATACTGACATCACTCCTTGCCCAGTGCTGGAAATATCCCCTCCATTGACTGCTGGATACAAAAGCAAGCTGTGTCTCTAGTTTCGGTTCTTGGTATAATATGGTCTTATATTAACTCCATACTCAATGCTGCAATTCCCCCCGTACTCAACTGTTTGCTCAGTGGCCATGCTTGAAAAGTCATTATTGCTCAAGCAATAATTAACTGGTATCAGCAATACTCTGACATCGCAAGCTTTTTTTTTTTGTGTATCATTTCACGGAATGCCACTGGACATGCAGCCACACAGTATTGAAGCTGCAGAATGTCATTTCAAAAGAGGAGGGTTGTTCAGTTAAACGCTGCTTTGTGATGAGAATCGCGTCTGACACTCTGGGTGCTATGACAACCTGTCACCGCGCCAGAGGAAGACAACATGAGGACAGTAACTCTTTTACCTCAATGGTCCATTTTTTGATTCTTGCACACAGTTTAGCGTCCTTCTTTTCTCGCAGTATGTGGCTCAGCTTCTTACTTGGATCCTTCCATCATCGTCCTTTGCTAGTATCCGTGCTCTCGAGAAACCTTGTACTCATTGCTAGCCACCCCTTTGACGCGTGAATTTCAATGGCTCCTCTGAGTGACCTTGTTTTGATCGCCGTTGTTTGTGCTGTTACTGTTTTCTTGTGTGTGTTGCTCGTGACGGTTCTATGCCTGCGCTATCGGCGGAAGAATATCCTACATTCCAATGAGGCCAGTTCCAATCTATACCCCCAGTCGCGTGGAATATTCCACACGACATTTCCTTTCCCGTACGCGGGTGCAAGACAATGGTCTGCCATTGGCTCCATAGAAGATCTCCATGGGCAATTGTCCCCGGGGATTCTGGAGCCGGCTCCCTGCCATACTTCTGAGAGACGAGATGCTCGCATGTCGACGCTGTCGATGCGTAATACGCGTCGCCTCCAGAAGAAATCAAGTAGGGACATACCTCTCGAGTCTGTGGCATCTCCGCGTTCGCATTCAGGGCCCTTAGATGTTGAAAACATGGGTTCCTCTCCTCTCGCAATCGCAGAGCTTCAAGCTGACTGCACTCCAAAGCGGAAACTACCTATACAAGATGGCAGCATTACAATTGATAAGGATGAGGGTGGTCGTATCACTTCATGGCCACTGACTACAAGAAAAGGGTCATACTATGACATAACTGCAACAATGCGAGGAGGCCCATTCATTATTGATCCCGAATTAGCCAAAAGACGATCTGAAGGGATTCTGCACCAGGCCCCAGGCTCTCCTCCAAAACAGGAAGTTCCTCCATTGCCGTTTTCCCGCCCACCTGGAATACCTCACTTGACTAGGCACGATTCGATGCTCCTTTCAAACAAGAGTTTGGATACTGCAGGGAGCTCAATACTTGATTATCCAGCTGGGGAGAACTTAACTGATTCGATTGACTTAGAGACGCCCAGCAAACCCCCTCCTACGATTCATGAACGGTATATATCGACTGATGGGTGGTGGGTGCCAGCGTCCACAAGAAGCGGATCGGTGTCGCGTATCCCGCAAGCATCGTCACCCCGTCGTTACAACTCTACGTCTGGTTCATACAAGCAAATTCAAGACCGCGGCTCTCCCAGGCGAAGCGCATCCATCCATTACCCAGAGGAACGATCATCTTGTATTTTGGGTGTCCAGACACCAACTAAAACCCGCCAACTATACATCCCTCCTCTCGGAAAATCACGTTCTCTGACGAGTGGGTCATGGATTCCAAGTAATATCCGCAATCAAAAAAGTCAGCTGCTTGTTGCACATGAGCTAAACACATCTTCCAGCCTTGAAAGTGACCGTACGTCGGATGAAGTGCGTTCTCACTCAGCTATATTGAAGCCGATCACGGAGAGCGGGAAGAATTGCGGAACTCGAACACTGGCAAACGCCAATGGATGTCCTTCCAATCGAACTCATTGCGTCCGTACATCACGCCTATCAACACTTGGGGAAGCATCTCTCGACGAAGCAAGGAAGGGACATGAACGTCGAAAGAGCGCCAGGACATCTATTTGCCAACGAAACTCTATTCTAACTTCATTGTCGCCAACTATTGAAGAGCCAGAAGACAGTTCGTGTAAATCTACGCCTCGAGCGAAAACCATTACTCCAGTCCGCCAAGATAAGAAGTCTCCTGAACTCCCATCAACCATTGGAAATTCGCACAACCCTTTTGATAATGACGAAGATGACATTTCTGACGATGGCGGCGGGGAACCAACACCTACTCCTATCGAACGAGGCTCAACAACAAGTCTATCGATAACATGTCCATCCAGCGTGCCAAAATTCTCTCCAGTTCCCGTCCATGAAAGACCAAACATTCCCCGTCGTTCATCGCTGCGCCGAAACTCATCGACTGGCCTACGATCCAAACATGAAGCTCAGTCCCAACCCCAGCGCTCCGCATCAATAGCCTCGACTATTACCATTCTTGCAAGTGAGCCCTACGCATCGACTCCATCAATAACAACGCCGACAAATACTGTTTCTGGCTTCCCCAGCCCAGAAAGTTACGGAAACATCATCGCGAAAATGGATTACGAGGCGAGGAACCTCAATAACGGCGATCGCCCCGCAAGAAATGCCTTTGCTCTCCCCGAAAACTCCGCGCTGATAGAACAAGAAACAGGAGTGTCTGCGAGAAAAGCGAAGCCCCTACCGATCCTTCCTATGCCCAAATGTCCAACCGCTTTCCCGCTCACGCCCCCAGAAATTCAGAGCAGCACTCACAACCATACAATCAGCGTCTAA